CACATGTGAGGTAGTAGCGTTGATGAACTTTCGTTTACACAAAATGCTCACCATATTTCAAGCAACAGAAAGAAAGACACGACACGAAACACTCATCTCACACAATGAGAAAGATCATCAGTGCCATTCACTGTAATTGCAAACTCGCTCATCTTTCTTCGCTCTCTCTAGCGTTGTGTTTTTTTTTATTGTGTTAATATTTGCTTTTTTTTGTTTATTGCAAGAACTTGAACTCTCGTCATCATCGCGTATCGATTCGCTTTATTTTCTCGCCATTTGTTCTTATTAAATGCGGGACTTTAATCATACGTTTGTTATTTCTTAGATCAATGATCTGGATTGAGCGATCATGGACACACGCGAATCGGTCATTTTACGTCAAAATCGAAGGAGGAAAAACCACACATAGGAGAAAATGGTATTCCGATCAATAACTAATATATATACAACATAATTTGATAAATGAAAACGTGTGTGTTAATTCCTTTAATTAATAATTTCCACTTTTTAATGCATTTTTTTTTCATTTTGCATCTCTAAAATTTCCGTTTTCGGAGAATCTGATGGCAGGTGACAATTGGTTTTAACACTTTCCATCTCGATTGCAACAAAAAACGGTGATCCCGCGTATAATTTCGCTATATTTAACAGTGTATGCATAATGAATTTTATTTTACACATCGAATCGGCCCGATTGAAAAGAAACCATAAAATGCGGAATCGTTGGGAAAATTGTCGCAAACAAGATGAAATCGAAATTCACTTTTACTTATACGAAAACGAAAACAAAAACAACAGAAAACGGTACCGATGTGATACGAAAAAAAAAACCTAACGGAAAGGTGTGGAATCGAATATATTAGCATATTGCATGTGCACAATTTCATTTCGATGAGATTTCATGATCCGTTGTGTTCAGACATGCTCCGTAAGGTATTTTTTTTTCGTCGTATTTGTTTCTTTCGCCATGGAAAGTAAATGTCTCGCCGGCACGCTGCCGTCTGATTGCGTTTTCTCAAATGGCGATACGTTGGATTTTAGTCTATTGGTTGCTATATTTTGTTGGAGTGTAGGCTCAGCCGCACAGTAACACAACGCCATTTACACGCGACAAGATTAAATTGCAGTGTAACGAACATACAATTTTCGATCATTAATTTGGATTGTTGACATCGCGCCACATATTTTTCGCAATCTGCGTATCCAAATTGGTCTGGGGCAAAACTCGTGCTTTGCAAGCAATTATCGACGACGACGACTTCCAATTTGATCGAATCGAATAAATCCAAACACCGTTTTAAACTGCAAAAGAACATTGACATCACAAATAGATTAATTCGCAAGATCTCGTGCGCGCAAACTTTTACACATTCTAATTGCAAACGGTGTTTGCCAATTCCAGATTACGGTTAGTAATAATCTTTTGTTCCACACGGAAATTCAATTAGAATCGAATGAATGTATCACCGAGAGAGTGAGTTCACAATCGAACCATGTGAACCAGCCAAGTGAGAAATGAGTGCCAGTTAGCGCACGCTTTGTAGTGTTGGCTCATGATTGTATCTTATCGCTTGTGAAAGACATCAAGTCAAATGGAGACGTCACACTCTCACTCTGGCACTTCATCACCAGGCACCTTTCACAACATTACGGTGAATACTTTGTTTAAAAACAACACAAAAACACACATCTGCAACTCGTCTCAGCGTACATAATTGTGTTCCGTAATGAATTGGATTCAAATTTTCTAAATGTTCTTCACAAGTGAGCGCCCCGGCGACATTGTCTTAGCATCTCATCGTCGCTGTAAATGAAATAATGGCTTAATTCCAAGTGCGTGCGTGAGGTCTTACAACGGTTGCATTTGATTCCAAGAAAATATCTAGGCGGAAATTACAGTTAGCCTAATGGTCATAATTGCTTACGAATTGCCGCTGAAATGCTTCAGAATGTTACATTTAAAAGTTTCATATGATCATTTTTATATTTATCTCATAATTGGGCCCTTTGCTGCGATGAGATTCACAGCGATCCATTACCATTTTCACTGCATTCATTTTACTCAGCGGCGGCACAGAAAGTAATATAAAAAGTTTGACCTTTGTATCGCTGCTTTGTATCGTATTAAAAATAGCATGCGTATGCAATTGATTTCCGCATTCTTCGGCTTTTATTACTCAGTTTTGTTTAATAGCCTTGATTTGCATGCCCACTTTTGTATATAAACTGTGTTCAGCAAAAATAGAAGAAAATTCGACAAATATTCCTATGAAAAGAGGCAAATTAATTTGTACACACGGCCATTACTGGACCAGTTCAAAGTTGAACAAGCGAGTCATTTACACAACTACTTTATTGAGATATAAAACTGGGCAAATTAAAATTAAGAAGATGATTTGACCTGAATGTAAATGATGTTTTGATCCAATTTCAGGAAAATAGTATTCCAAGTCAGAAGTGCTATGGGAATAGAACGTGCCAGCCTCCAATCATTCAGGTAATCTGTTAAATGGCGTGCGGATAAAAGACTCATCATGAGTTACACATGCTAAAATCATTATACTTTCCAGAAGAAATAAGCCTTAGAAAACGGATGGACTGCCGAGGATGCATGTTTAGATTCCAACATTTGCTAGTTTTGCGCGGCAAAACATTCGCATGAGATAATGACATGTTTTACGTTTAGATTTTTCACGTCATTTATACGCTCTTTCCTCATGACGATGATGGCAATAATTTGTTTAGTTGATGTAAGTTTCGTTACGTGCGGCTTGGTGATCAGGTTTTGTCTGTGTGTTTGGCTAAGGGGATTTATCTCTCGCGAATGCTGCGAATGCATTCGCATTTCAGAACAAAAATTCGAATGTTCGCGAATGCGACGAATGCGGCTATGACAGCGAACTTGTAACTACATAATTCATTCGTTCATTCGTGTTTGAGCATGCATTCGCAACGTTGCCGTATGATTTCTATGTAAACATTCGCACTCGCATTCGTGAGAACGTTCGAGAACAGCGAAATACGACTGCTATACGAATGCGAGTGCGAATGTTTACATAGAAATCATATGGCAGCCTTGCGAATGCATGGCACTGAGCGCGAATTTGTGAATAAAAATTCGAGTGCCAAACCGACATAGAAGCCCCTAGGTGTTTGGCTGTGGATCAAATGAACCGCATGTCAAAGTGAACAGGTAATAATAGATATTTCTTCGAATGTTACACCGACTGACCATCTGTTCTGACATGCGTGCGAATTCCTATGCTCATTAAAACAACGCTACTTAATACACACAGTTAGGTTCATTCGTTATTTTAGCTAAGAAACAGGAATCGAAATCAGCCATGTTTGCTTGTGCCTGTGCATGTGTGATGTTAATTTGAACTTGCATTTGCATTTAAGATTAGAGATTCCGAACTTTAAGATTAAGGAGTCAAATAACGGCGTCTCTTTCGTCAAGTACAATCAATATACATGATTTGTGCCACATAGTAATTCAATTTTATGCTTGCTTTAGATCAAAAATACTAGCACATGTACGCTGACATTCACAAAATGTCCAGTTTCTTTTTGTCTATGCAATTTAGCAATTTCAACTCGGTACCACAGTCCAGCGCATTTTTGGATCACACAAATGCGATATAGTCTCGAATTGCACCACATGCACATAGATCGGTTCGCCGCTTTTGGATGCTCTCATTTTGTCGGGCGTTTGTCTGTATAAAATGGTTGCAATAGCTTGCAAAATCGCAGGGCGCACTGAACCATCCGTCGGAAAGATGACCTTTGCGAATGACTTTTCCTTATTAAATAACGAAATCGATTATGCAAGCAGCATAAATTTTGTTATTTGTTATGCATGTGTTGCAAATGCGTGCAAAACGCTACTTTTAACTGGGATAAAATAACAAAAGTCGTCATTGGTAAAACCATTTTTCGTTCGATATTAAACATTTGTATCAAAATAAATCGCTTTCTACTGAAAAAAAATAGAAAGCATAAAAAAGCATTGCTTTTCTGTTGGATCAAGAGAAATTCCATGGGATAGATCACACATATACGCAAAAAAAGTGAAAATGAATGTATGGCAAACGAGTCGTAATTCAAAAAGATGAAACGAAGATTTTTGGAAATATTTAAAAATTGTTCATTCGTTTAGCATTCCAGCGGCATGTGGCAAAGCCAATTATTTCATTTCGGCAAACATTTTTTTTTTGCGCCATTCATTTCTCAATGAAAGGAAAAACAAACACTTGATTTTAAAACTTGGTACAAAACAAAAAAATCATACGCATACTTTATTAGTTGTTTACATTTGGCTCGTGCAAAAAATGTGTGTTTTATTATGCTTACAAGCGCAAAATGCTTAATTCCGCATTCTGACCGAAAAGACGTACAATTATGAGCAAGCAAAAAAATTTATTGTTGCTAGTTTTATCTGACGCAATGTTGCTTTAATTACGCTTGCCGTGTACTGAATGAATTGGACAAAGTGTAGAAGTGAATCCTCAAAACGGCATCTCACTACAAGCTCATTGATTTGTTTAGTTTCTTCCAAAAGACTTTGATTGATTAATCTTGAACGATTAGAGTCGGCCGGTACCCGGGGTTAAACGGCGCGAAATTAACACGATACAAATTGAAATGTATGCGTATTGAAACTATGAGTGTTGATTGATCGTCCAATCATAAAAAATAATCAGCCAATCCGTTGGGCTGTAGGCTGTATCAACACAATTACTGAATTACCTCTATCTTATTAGTTCCTTTCTCAATAGCAACGCGTTTCGATGCGAAACGAAATGAATTGTTCACTTAATTAATAAATATGGAGGAGATTGGAGAATAAAGAATTTAGTGGCGCTTTGTAAAGTGTTTGTTACATCATACAACTGGCTTTGTATGGACATTAATGTGGGATAATCGTCATAATTTTTGATCGGCGGCCATTGAAACCAATCAGCGAAAATCAGTGTTTGTTTCACGAAAAAAAAACGTACCTAATAGTTTTGTGATCTTTATGCGTTACATTCAACCGTGTAAAGGTGTAATGAGACTTGAAAGTATCTGAAACGAAAATAAAAGCAAACATTGATTAGTCAGTCGGCGTTCAAGTCAACAAAAAAAATTACGATAATAAATTGACGTTCAAGTGAAAAGGACATTTTGTCATTAATTCGGTGATTTTCTCTCTCTCTCTCTCTCTCTTGTTCTCCTCCACATTTTGCGTGTGAAATAATTTGCATATTTCAACATTATTTCTTCCACTTTGATCGTAATCATGCTTATAAATAGTTGAAAACCCCGCACATTTGTGCGTCGCTTTTTGTATACCAGGTAATAATAAATCGAGCATAAATTCATAAATTATATCATTTCATTTCGTTTGGCTATAATAACAGCAACCGGAAAGATATAAAACCTTAGCATTGAATAATCCAGTCGTGTTGTTTTTGTGCTAAATGTTGATAATCAGTCTTTTTTCGGTTTTGAATGCAAGAACATAACGAATTGAACAGTCACCGAGAGAGCTTGACTTATACAACAAACAATTTTATGCTGTGACCATGAATCATAATGAAGGTGTGCAGAGCCGTGCGGCGTGCAGAATAAGAGAGTGTTCAAGAAAAATTTCTTTGTATTCATTTTTGTCCAACACGAAGCGCAACATCTTAGTGTAGATGTTATCATCGTTTCCTTTCAAAACATATATTGACTAACTGACCCGAGCTGACAGCTCAGAAAAAGAAATGAAAAGAAAGATAAGCAGCGTATCTTTTTACATTGGAGAATTGAAAGCGATATCGAAAAGCTTGGTCATCGGTGAATGAACCGATGCGTCCAATCTCTCGTGGGATTGTGTTTTGTACTACACTGGATTGTTTCGTTCATTTTTTTTAATTGGTTCTTCTTGTGCTGATCATGCTACCATTAACGATTCACATTTTAATGCACAAGACAAGACCACGTATGTCGTTAAGTTGAACTATGGAGTGCGTCCCCCCACCTTGTGCATAAGAAGAACAACACCAATGAACAGAATGAAATAAACATAGAACTGGTAATAAAAACTATCAATCAAAATTCTCGTTTGTCCATTGCGTTTCGATGTTGTTGGTGCTGCTGCTGCTGTTGTTGTTTTTTTTCGGTGTACTTCACCGAAATTCAAATGAATGTTGGTTGTGTTCAGCCCATTTTTAAAGTGCTTTTAATCAAAAGCAATCCTATGTTCCGGGCATATCCACAAACCAAATTACATTTCGCTTTTACGATCCAAATTAATGGATTTCATTTAAATGTAAGAAAAAAAACATCATTGAAACTTAAGTACTTTTCTCGTTGTTTTCTTTTGTTCGCTTCATGACACTCATTATTTTTCTGAGATGAAAATGTATTCAGAATCGATGCTTCTTCTTGTTTTTTCTTTTCTTTTTCGGCTCTTATGTTTAACGAGAGTGCGAGAAAGAGAGAGACACTTACACCAGTTGTATATACACCCAATACCACTCAATTTATTCTTGAGCTTTTGGTTTAAATAAGATACGGAGTCTCTCATCTTGACACCAACACTTTTCGATAAGTCCACCAGCCAAACCGATCTCGGTGTGTTAAATTAGCCATGCGTGTGTTTCGAGATACACCATTTTCAGTCGAAAAACATTCATTAGCCCATCTTCGAAAACCCAATTACTATAATAATGATACAATGGATTCCAAATAAATACGCTTGATTTCACATGAGCCTATCGCAACATCATTCTTATTGATTGAGTGTGACGCAACGACAAGATTCTTATTTCGTTTTTTTTTTCATCGGAATTATGATGATAGAGTGCGGTTTACGATCGCAGTGATTCAAAGCGAATGGAAACCACGATGATGCCAAGTCAAATAATTAAAACCCCCAGTTTCGTTGAGCTGCAATTAATTAAAAAGCCTTTGAGTGAGTGGTTTCGTTTTATTTTTCATTCGGAAAATTTCGTCGTGTCATGTACGATTTGGTTGTGTGCACACCAACAAGAAACACCCATTCGAAAGCTTTAGTTCTAAGACGTGGCTTTTAATATGTAGTTTAGAATATTTATGCAAATTGCACGGGAAAAGTACAACTGTTATGACTGCTATGCAATGTGACTGCTATGCAAAATGTCTAATGAGAAACATTTTCGAAAAAATCTTCAGAACGTCAACCGAAGAGAATATCCAACTACTACTTCACGCCCATTCTACTCTGTGAGTCAGTCTTGAGCACACAGCGACCAAAAAGTCCCATAAACTAAGGCATTCGAGCTATTAGCTCCATTGTCGTTGTGACATTTTACGGCCGGTCTATGAAAAACATCAATGCTGCGATTTCAAAGCGCTATTCCAATGAGAACAACAAATCCAACCATGAAATGAATGTTTTACAATTTTTTCTCTTCTTCATTTCGAAGCGCATCGTTTGAAAACCCCTAACGAAATTAAGAACACTAACGAAGCGAGGATCACCGCATTTATGTGCACCAAACAAAGAACCGTACTCAAAGTGTTTGGCTGGAAATTTTGCATGAATCATTTTATTCAATCGACGCGCAACAACAATGTGTTATAATTTTTTATGTCGCCAATTCGTTTCGCAACGACGTTATTCATTAAAGCGGCGAATATTAACGTCGTCACACCGCAATGGCAAATGTCTGAACCAAAATCGAAATGAGTCTCGTACTAGTGTATGTTCGTGTGTGTATTTCTTTTTCACTTTCAGGTTTTTCGCCTGCACCACAATTACCGTCTGGAAAATACAATTGCAATGCCAATGCTGTGATGAATATAAAATTTTATTGGGAACCACAAACCAATGAAGAAAGTTCTTTATTTCGTGTGCACAACTCATTTTCCTCTTCTACTTTTTGTGTCTCTCTGTGTGTGTGTGTTGATCAATGCACACTTATACCACAAACGGCTGGAGACGCAGGCTTTATGCCCTGGCTGTGGCATACGTGTGTTTAAACATATTCGGATATTTTATTCATCGAAATCGGTTGCTTCACTTATTACTTGTGTGAACTGAACACACCAGAACACACAGTCGGCGAGTAGGAATATGAACGAATAAATATTATTTCACTTGCACTCGCTTGTCCAAGGCAGCCCGTGCCTTTGTTCATTTTGAATTTTAAGTGTATACCCAAGTATAGTAGTCGTGTGTACGAATGCAGCATAGTTCTGTTCTTCTGTTTAATGTTTTTTTTTGTTCTTTAAGCAGTTCTGTTTCGATCACATCGAGGAATGTGCCCCGGCCATCGTCTGACGAATAATATTCTTATGTAAATTTGTGTTCGCATTCGGTATTGAAATTAGAATTGGTCTCGGGTGCGTTGTATTGTTGTCGTAATTTCCTCGAGTATAATTTTCGTCGATGATCGTCTGCCACAAAAACTCATTGCACGTCGGATTGCTATTGTTTGCATCATAAAATTATTGTTCGTATTTATTTCTTTGGTATTTTCTTTTCCTTCGGTTTTAAACTAATTTCTGTGCGTTTCTAGAGCACTTGATATGAGTCATTTGTTTCGAAAAAGAGTACACAAAACCGTTTACCACATCCATTTTACTTTTTGATTTTGGGAACATTTTTCGGATGAGTGTGTGTGTGTCCAAAGCATAATTTGTTGTACTGGCGGTGTATATAATTACTGTACTTTGTACGTCTTTCGCGTATTGTTGCGTTACGTGTAGATCACATCCATCTGACTGTCTGGCTGGCTAGTCGAACCAATGACTAACGACCACTCTCACTATGCCCGCAGGTAGTATTTGCTTTATAATCGGCATGGATCAAATTGAAAATGATTGATCGCACATTAATTTAGCATTCGATGTTTGAAGCATGCGCCGTCGCAATTCAAGTGCAGTTGTTGTTGTTTGGTTTGTTCATTGTTCGGATGATTCCAATTCGTCGAAATAATCTGCATGTGAATTGCAGACGATGAATTACAAAATGGATTTTGTTTTTCTGCTGCAACACATTGATTTCAAAATGACACTTTGAGCGTCCGACAAAAGGAATGGGTTTTGAGGCGAGTGCATATTTTCTGTCATTCACTTTGATGAATCACCACAATCGGCAGTTCTTGTCAAGCAGTTCGTTTACTTTCATTACATGCCGAAACCACGCCATTCTTTTTTTTGTGCTCATACGGAAGCAGCGACGCCTTCACTATTTCGTTGAAAGAACTAAATGTAATTCGTAGAAAGACTGTTTTTCGTTTTCGTAAAGGTAAATGCGATTTGTACTTGGTCAAACTATAATCGCTTGAGACTGAAAGGAATATTTAAAAAAAACCGGTTCGGCGTCTCACGGAGTTTTCGTTCCAGTGTTCACGAATTGTGTGTGATTTTGTCTTTATGTCGTACTTTTAGCTACTCTTAGCCACGAGATAAATTTGATTTATCTCCGGTAAATACCATTGCATGGCAAGTATTGTGAGTACAATGGATCGCGATCGCGCTAGCGCACACTTGAAGAATGTAAAGTTTCATTAAAAACATTTACTTCTTGCGCTTTTTCTTATCCTCCTTCTCTCTAGCCAAGACGTTGGTCAATTGGTGTGAATGCACCCACGATTTTATTACTCTCTCGAATCCATTTGTTATATGTGTGCAACTCGCGAGAATGTTTCGACGAAGGGAAAAAAAGGCACCAAGCGAAATATAAACAAACACACTCGATGCAACAGAAAGTCATGGGACAAAGAACAAAATATAAAGATCGCAATAAACGAAGTGCGACAAAAAAAAACGCGTGACGAAATGAAACCGAAAGAGAACATATAAAATGCATATAACACACAAGTTCATCGTCGTCGTTTAGAGTTTCACATGTAGAAATTCATCAAGGTTTTTTTTCGTGTATGTGTCTTCCTTCTCATTCTTTCGCTACATGTGAAAAATGAACGAAATTTGATTTCCTTCTACTTAGTTTTATATACTAGCCGAACGAATAAATTTTCCATTCGGAAATAACATAAAAAAACGAGCCGACCATCAATTGGAATCGAATCAATCTTACGTTAAGAAAATGT